TCTTTCCTGCCTATGCAGGGGGTTGGACTCGATGATCTATTGAGGTCCCTTCTGACCCTAACATCTATGGATCTATGACTCTCCCTTTCCCCCTCTTTGGAACCCTTTTTGTTCCTTCCCAGAGTAGGGAGGCATCTCATGATTTAGCAACAGTCGGTTTGCAATTTCAGCAGCCTTTTGAGCAGTTTTGGGATCCCTGTCCCTGACCAGGGTCTTAACCTCTCTCAGATACCAAAAATAGAATTGTTCCAGCACCATGAGATGGCGTGACTTTTCTAAAGTGTCAACCTTGGCTTTGGCTAACCATTTTATGTATGTCGTCTAACAGGGCCACATAATCAGTCAATGACTTTCCGGGTTGTGGGTGCGTATTCCGGAATTTTTTTCCAAAAATAATCCGGTCCTAACTTGAACCTTTTAGACACAGCAGCTTTGAAGGCATTATAGTCATCAGATGCATCTGAGGGCAGGCTGTTCAGGACCACTGCCATGTTGCCTTGTACCAGAGCCGACAAGTACATCATGAGCTTTTCCTCCGGCACCTTGCACCGCTGGGCTTGTCTTTCAAAGTTGCTTAGGAACACTGCAGGATCGTCTCCGTCTCGGTAGCGAGTGAAGCCTGAGACGTCCAGTTTGGGGTGTTCCCCGGACACTTACGGAGTGCTCACGTTTCCCCTGTTGGTCGGCAGACGGAGCTGAGCCTCCAGCTTTTTCTCCTCCAGCTCCAGCTTTTTTGCCTCCAGCTGGGCTTCCATCTCCATCCTTTTCACTTCTAGCTGTTGTTGTTCCTTCTCCCGCTGGGCTTCTAGCTTTTTTGCCTCCATCTCCATCCTTTTCTCCTCCAGCTGCAGCCTTTTTAACTCCAGCTCACGGAGTCTCTGCCGCTCCCCCTCAAAGGGTGATCTCTCGGCGGCCTCCGGACTTGACGAGCGGGAGTGTGTTCCTGGGTCAGGCCCAGGACTTGACAAGCATGAAGCTGACATTGTTCCTGACTTGCTGGTGCACAAGAGTTTAACCAGCTCTTCCTTCTTTAGCCCTTTCTTCACGTGAAGGCCTCTCTCTTTTGCCAGTTCTTTCAGTTCAGGCACGGTAATCTGGACATACTCGTTTGCCATCCTGACGATCTACACTATCCAGTTGACCCGATGCCAAATTAGAAATTGTTTGCTCAAGGGATTTCAGTGACTCTATTCCTTTTCCCAAATTATGCCTCCAATACAGCAGGGTATTCGGATCCCACCGCTACCACCACGTGTGGCGGGCCAGTAGGGGGCGCTCCTGCATTGAGCCGCCCACCTCACTGAGCCCGACCACTGTCCAGGCTCCGAGTGCCTCCCTGGGGTGCTTCATGTCCGGCCGACCCCTTCCCTGGAGCACACCCGCTAGCCTGGGGTTCCCGCTGCCACCATCCAAGGCTTTGGACCCTGTGAAAACACAGGCCTGATCGTCCAATGGGTCTTCCCAAGTCAGGGGCTTATTAGGAAAGTCTCCCTTAGTCCACAGACCTAAGGGGCCTCCTCGGCATAATTTAGACCCACCCCTCAATAAGTTTCCACACTGGTCACAAAGGAGAACTTTATTGATTACAGGGGGTAGGGCGGAAACAGGGTAAAAGGTAGAACAATATCAGAGGAATATCAGAGGAATCCCATAGAGCAAACCAGTGTGGCTGATGGTAGCCTTTTGATCTCGCATCTGAGTTACTGAAGCTAAATATCTAGTCGGATCTCTAGTAGGTTACTCACACGCAGCATCCAGAGGTGGTTGTTGTTTCCTCTGGAGGCAGGGCACTCTTGGAGCATGCGGTGATGAGGAGAGAGCCAGGTTCAGATGGTGAAGCTCCTCTCCTAGTTTTACTGGTGTGGCAGGGTGTGACATGCTCCAGATGCTTTGCCAGCCCCGTGGGGACTGATTGCCTGGTTGACTTTGGGTGCCCTGGCTCTGAATCTGTGGGAGTTTTTGGTGCTTTGGGAGCAGGAAGCAGTATAAGGCAGGAGCTGGCTGCTGCTGCTTCTGCTGCTCACCAAGGCAAGCTGGCACCTGGTTTTGTGCAGCTTCCCTTCACTGTATGCATGTCTCTGCACAGGAGTATAGGTCTGTGTCTCCTGGCTCCAGGCTGGTCAGATACAGGTACACTTCGCTCCTGGAGCCTCAGGAGGCCATGTCTCCTCCAAGCTCCAACTCACAGCAGGATCCTTCATGTCTGAACCATCTTCTGTGAGTTTTTCCCTTGTACTAGACCTCTAGGCTCTGGTCATTTTTTGTTCTCCCCATTGGACCCTTTCCAACATGTTAGCATCCTTCTTGGAGTGTGGGGCCCAAAGCCAGACACAGTGATCCAGGCGTGGCCTCAAGAGTGCACCATAGTGTGGGAGAAGCCCTGCCCTGGATGCAAAGATCACACTCCCATGAACACCGGCCAGTGCCCTGATTGGTCCCTGTGTGCTGGCTCTAGCACAGTAATACATGGCAATGTCTTCAGCTGTCTAGAAACTGAGTGCCATCTAGTGCTTGGGGAAGGGGAAGTGCCCAGAGATGGTGATTGTATTCTGCAAAATTGCATTGCTATTGTTCAGCCGCCCCATCCACTCTGGGCCTTTTCAAGGAGCCTGGCAGATCAAGTCCCAAATGTAATTGCTAGTGACTGAGCCACTGTGATGGTGCAGATCAGGCTGAGGGTCCCTGGGCTTCCCCATCCTTGGGCCACACTACTGCACCTGGAGCTGAGACCTGGCACCTGGAAAGATCAGGGATAAGTCAAGATCAACCCT